CTCCACAATCTAATAACTTAAGCTTCGGAATGAGATAAAATGTCTTGTTATAAAAAAACATTTATTTTTTTTTTTTTTCTTTTCACATTATTCTCTAGTCCCAAACTAAGCAACGCTTGTTGTCTTTACCCATAGTGGGTACCAGATAATAGATATACCTACATAAAGTTAATTTTCTTTAAATTTTGTTGAACGTGGCCTAATAAATTCACCTAATTCAGTCTTATACAAGGCAGGGCTATAGACATCATTTCAAGGCGTTTAACAAATCTTGGGATAATCCCACACGATTCCCCTGGTAATAGGCAGGCGTTCAAAGTTTTACTCTCTTCGGTTACCATTACACCTTCAAAATGCGAGAAAGTTCGTATCCCATGCTTAAGCAAGTAACAATCTGTTTACCGTTACAGCTATGCCGAGAAGAAGTTTGAGCTTTGTTTAATTACTTACACCATAGTAATCCGTATGTAAAGTTCTTACATAATATTAATAAGCTTGCATAAATCTAGAAATTCACAAAAAGTTGTGAATAACTACTTGTACTTGCCTTTGTACAAAAATAGTTAAGACATTTCGCAATAAAATTTCAATTAGTTACAACCCCATCATCTTTCGTCCAATACTACGAGTAAATATATTATAGTCATAGAAATTTTTGTTTGGATTTGGATATTATATAATTATTGTTATATTAAGAAATCAAATTCAATCACTTGATGTAGCACTAACCATTTTGCTTCTTTCATGTTGGAAAAATAACAGAACGGTAAAAATATATATTAAATTAAAAATATTAAATATTAACTCTATTATGTTACAATTAATCATATTCTCTACCGTTATTTTTTTTTTAATTAATATTAATTTTAGTACATCAATAAAGTTGATTTAACACGTTAAGCCAACCTGTACCACCTCTTTCAGAACGAAGATAAATTTTTAAGTTATCTCCAAAATTAGACATTTTTAGACAACCCATAAAAATAATACTTTAAACCGTTTCTTCCATTAAACGTTTTCATTGGTAGCTCTTTTAAGTGGTCGCTGTGAAAAGCTACGCTCGCAGGCTCAAATGTACTGTAATTAAGTATCTTCGGGGTGGAACACTGACATTATTCATGGTTCGCCTTACATAACAGTACGTTTGTATTTCAATAAATAAAGCATGATTATTTAGCCATACGACTCATTACGGAAACATGGATGGATATAATAATCGACACATACATTTCTTCATTTGCATATTTTTTAACACTGATATTAACTGAAAATGCACTAAGCACAAACTACTTGTGTGTTTATAGTGATAACTGTATTAGGGCCACGCAGCAGTGTTCGCTGTACGAAGGGTATGACAATCTGGATAAGTACCACCAGCTCACAGATGACGGGCGTGTAGTTGTACAACTCCTCTGGTGTGCGTCTGTTGACCGGCTTAGGTAACCGGGGCTCACTTTATTAAAAGGTGGCAACGCATCTGTAGCCCTACGGGTGTTTTGAATATCCATGTGCGGGGCTTATCACTTAAAATCAGGTGAACCGCCAGCCGGTTGCCACTTACTCACATAAAAAGTACGTGCTTTAATCACGACCTTAATTTTCTGTCCAGTCTACACGTCTGGCATTATTGGGATGAAAACAACTCGCAGCCGCAAATCGTAGCGCGTTAGGAACAAAAAATGTAAGAGCTCGTATATACTTCCTCTCGCTCTTAATCCATCTTCGCAACGTCGGCACAAAATGTAAATAATGTAGTTCATGGTATTTAATCGTTATGTAAGACCATCCGTCTGCATGACAGTAACCCTTCTTTGAAATGAGCACCCAGGTCCCGAACAACTATGTGGGTCGTAGAAATACTTTCCCTGTGAATCAAACCAAACCCACGATGTTCGGTGTGGATGCCTATATCTTAGCAACTGAGCCACCGAGCCGGAGTAAGAGGGCGGATAAAAATAATAAGCTCCCTTGTGGCGTAACCACCCTTCCATTTTTAATGAGCTATTTCACGTAGACTTCATAGCAGGAAGGCAACCCCTGCATATCGATATGATAGTTATGCTTTGGAAAGTTGAAAATAGCATACTTGTTTCATTAAAAGGAAAGTTGTAAATAGCACACTTAATTCATAGATGGCTTTCGTCGGGTACAATGACAGCTAAAACTTTTTAGATGTAACTAACTGGATAAAATAATGAAAATGTTATCTCAAGATACTACATTATGATATAAATTATATGATACTCATAAAATTTATGTCATAATGTACTATCCATCCAGTTTTTGCTCTTTGTGTTTCTCCAATTTCTTTAGTGCTATCAAAGCAATTTTCAGAGAAATGTCTTTCAATGGTGATATCTAAATTACCATTTTATGTTGAAAGGTAGCAAGCGAGCAGGTAATTTAACGGTGGTAGGGCCACGCAGCAGCCTCGGCTGTTTCACGGATGGGCAGGCTCGTCCGGGTAAGTACCACAACCTCACAGAAGACTAGCGTAAAGTGGAAGTATAGTACTTTCGTGTTTCGTCTGGTGAGTGAGGTGGCCGGAGCCCAATTTTCTAAAGGTTGTCAAGGGATCTGCAATCTTCGGGTTAAGCAAATGTCTATGGGCGGCGGTATTCACTTAACATAAGGTGAACCGTCTGCTCGCTTGGCAACTTTCCACATAAAAAAAAGTAATCACTTGACATCAGGTGAACCACACTTGATATTGAGGGATTACACTTACGGAGTTACATACACGTTGCAATATTTAAAAAGGGATCATGTCATCTCACTCAGCAGATGCTCCACTTCTCGTTGGAATTTTGTGTGTTCGTGCTACTTCTTAGTCGCAGCCTCCCCATTCATGTGACCACAGCTTAGAAAATTAGTTATTAACTGTATGATTTTAGAGTTTTATTTTTTTTTTTATTTCTCGCCAGAGACATCAAAGCGGGCTCTTAGTAAAAAATGTTGATACGTCTCCCAGATAGTTGTTTTTTAAATATTCGTAGTGAAGAAGATAATTTTCTTTTTCCAGAGTTCATTAGGAGTTCGTAATTGATTAAATCTTATGCTACCATGAACTAAACTTATGACAAGGTCCATCTTAAATTGTTTGTATGAAGCTTGTAAGCAAAAAAAAAAGTTATGAAATTTCAATCTAGTTTTTTTTCTTTTTAAATATCCGTATAGGTATTCAATTCACGAGAAATAGGTTAGTAAAATAAGCTCGTTAAATGTTATGTGTTTGTTGAAACGATCACATTTATGAGCGATGCGCAGGTAATACGAGGTATTGGTTATTTTATCATAACCCTATTCATAAAACCTTGACAGTAGCACACGAGAACGTGAGTCGTGAGAGCTTAACACTGTCATAAAATAACTACGAAATTCTAAATCATATCACATCAGATTACATAAAAGTAGTTAAATCTTAAAAACCACCCGATTATCACCCGATTATCACTTCGATTTTACAATCAACAATAACACTTCTATAGTCCCTTATATATTAATAAAAACGTTTAGTTAGTAAATAATATTTTTAGTCAGAAAGTGCTTGAAGGCAAAATTGAGAGATATTACCAATACATATTACATAAAACGATTAATATACAATTAATTTAAAATGCCCATTTGAAAAAAAATTTACTAAGTTATGTTTTTCTTGGCCTACTTTGCTTATTTCATTCTTAAAATTATTCCCGAGTGTGTGTCATAGCTATAATACTTATGGCATGGTTATTTTTTAGGGTTCCGTATCCAAAGGGTAAAACCCGGGACTCTATTAATAAGACTCCGCTGTCTGTCCGTCTGTCTGTCTGTCTGTCTGTCCGTCTGTCACCAGGATGTATCTCATGAACCGTAGCTAGACAGTTGAAATTTTCACAGATGATGTATTTTTGTTGCTGCTATAACAACAAGTACTAAAGAACAGAATTAAAAATATTTAAGTGCGGCTCCCGTGCAACGGTCATGATTTTCCTTCGCGTGCGAGTTCGACTCACACTTGGCAGGTTTTATAGTATAATATATTATGGTAAGGAACCCTTCGTGCGCGAGTTCGACTCGCACTTGGTCGGGTTTTTTTCGGCAAAGCACGCAATAGAAGTTGCTATGTTGTATACCTACAACCTCAACCAATTCGCCGTCCGTAAGATCCACCTCTCATTATCGATACACTTTTTAAGTTCAAAGTGCCCGAGGGCTCCTGTTTATGTCCTTGTTGTGTACGCTAACATAGTAAGAATTTTAAGAGGCCTAAAATACAGCGTAGGCAATAAAATATAGTCGGCCATCGCTTATTTTCGTTTCTTATAAAGGCGGAGGTTTTTAATGGTGATCGTAAAGTGAATCCTCCTAACAATGGTTCACAATAAAACATGAAAAGTGCGTTAACGACCAATAAAACTGTGTTTACTGTATACCGAGACCATCAGGTTAGGTTAAGCTTTAAACATAAACGTAGTAACGATGGTAAACAAATTTGGTATTTCATTAATTTCTCGAAGTTGAATTAATGATCAATCAGGACCGTCTATAAAATTTTGGTATTTTATTAATTTATCAAAGGAGCTTAAGTTGTGAAGAAAGATTCAACGCAGATTCAGATTCACCAAAAGTCGGAAAACAAAAAAAGGAAATAAGAAAAAATTATAAATGAGAGACGAATTATCTAATAAGCAGACATTGGTGGTTTATATCAAACTCACTTGATAATAGATAAGATCTTAAAATCTGTGTGCTTAAAAGTGACATAATATATACTTGAGTTCATTCAAATCATAAGAAATATTCTTATACTAACTATTCAAAAATCTTATAAGGCCACTTAAACATGAGCGCAGATCTAAGAAACAAAAATCACAGCCTCATATTCACGACATGAGATCGATGGAACTTGGAGGAGCAATACGAGTTTACTAATTGCCAACGTTGTAAGAAATAAGGCACTAGAGAATTTTGTAATAAATAAAGTTCAATAAACTCATTCAATTAATCATTTCACTTACGTCAACATTGATGCCGGGCTGCGCGAAGATTCTCGTATATGGATACTCTTTGGGGAGATAACTGAAAAACTCCTGCCGCCCTCTGTACCATTTGACACTGTACAAAGTTTCGTTTCCTTCCAGGGTCCATTTGCAGCCAAGCAGCACCGTGTCCCCAAGTCTGACGGCGGATGGCGCTATAAGTTGCACGTCCCGCAAGGCTATGGTGTCTGTGAACAAAAAAGAACTTCAGTACACTAACAAAGTAATTTTAAATAGACGGATAAAATCTTTTTTTAAAATTTAATGCTATGATTAGTAGCACGACACATGGTTTATTTTTAGCGGCTTGCGCTGAAAAATCCTACACAATGCTAGCTAAGTCAGTCTATCCCAACAATGATCAAATATGACAAAGAGAATAAACTGATTAAATATCTTATGTTAAAGAAACAACTAAAGAACACATTAATTCGATTAGGAGGTAAATATGTAATCAGGATTGTGGAATACAGCGTTTTATAGACACAATATTCTGTAACAATACTTCAACAATACACGCTGAAAGAGGAGCCCTTTTCGCCCGGCTGAATAGTTTTCCATAAACTATAATCAATGGCTTTCGGAATAAGTATAAGGTTTCCATGATGCCACAATAATGTTTACAAAAGGAAAGTATTAATTTAGACCTTTTGCAAAATTTACTTGGATACGAGGCCAATATAATGGATTTCCTTTTCTTTGACAATGCCTTTAAATTATACGACGAGGACCATTATTAATGGAAACTATTGTTATATTGACCATGGTTGCTGAAAAATATATGAGACATTTATCAAACAGGATTTTTTAAAGAAAGAATGGCGTTCCCGTAACTACAAGGAATTAATTATTATAATTATAGACTCGTGCAAAATTAGCAGTTAGGTGTTAATTATTTTAATATGCAATCAAAAAAGTTACAGAATATTAAAAGTTTTCTTTAACCTAGCTGTAAACATATATTGCTTACCGTATCTATACATATATTAATACGTCAAGCAAAAACTTGGGAAGGGTACCCTTCTTACGAAAATTGCTCAGATGGTATAAATTGGATGATATTGATAATAGGATGCTTTTCTATACAGTTTACATAGTGAAAGAGTGCAGAATGATAATATTTATTGTAATTACGCATAAAAAATATTCAAAATCAATATAGAAAACATTACACACACTACCATGTATTCGACACACACACGCATATATACACCTTTATCTATCGTGTATTGTATTTGAGAATGGATTAATATAAAAATCAAACTTATAATTTAAATTAATTATGGTCGAATTACGACACTAGTTATATTAAATTCATATTGTAATTCAAACCGTAGAATTGCATGTATTTTCCAATTATATGTAATCCATAAATTGACATTTTCGACTTTTTGATATGTATTCTGAAAGGAAACATCATATGCTGGACTTTAATACTTATATTATTTAATTATATTGATATTATATTTATTATATAATTATATATTTAATATTAATTATTAATTATAATAATATTATGAAAAATCTATGACCGGCAGGGAAGTTACTTATTACTCATTCTTACTTTTCTCTTTGCCAAAATACTATCGTATTGAACGAGAAACTCCCAGTTACTGGGTCTTAAGGAACTAATATATAATAAACAAGCTAAATCTTATCAAAGGAAGCAAATAAGGGCCATTAGTCGACATTCAAGTCCAACGTTCGAGGAAGTAAACACCAATTTATTTATACGCTTCGCTTTTCGCAGATGAACAATCATTTCTATATATAAAAACTTAGGCATTAGGTGTTTCATTTGTTTATTACTTGTTAAATCTTTTTTTAATGCCACCTTGATAATATAAAAAAAATATATGAATACGAGTTTGTATATATATATATATATATATATATATACATACTCGTATTCATATATGACACAGTTATGTACATCTATCAATTCATCAATATTATGTCTATAGTTTGCACATGATGGCAAAATATAACACAGATTCAATAACTTGACCATATCCCGTATATTCCTCAGAACTATGAGCTCGTTTATAAACATTGAAGTGTAATTAAAAGTTGACGAAAATTAGTTGCTACATAGCTACATAAACTTTAAAGATAATTTAGGCCGAATAGGGTTTTATTTCGAATGAAATGATGGATGACGGACGACTCCATCAGTCTTTGGTTGTCGAGCCGAAAAAGGAAAACTTATCGGTATAAATGGGGGAGCTAACGGTGTTTTCGGAAGCAAGCCAAAGCAAATCTGCCTGCATCTGCTATATTGCGCTGTTCATAATGGAAAACATACATCATTCGGAAGAGTATTTATATTTGATGACTCCGTAGCGCAGTTGCCAAACCACTGGCTTCGGCGTCGGGGGTCGTGGGTTGATCCCCACACGGGACAACTATTCGTGTGACCCACACGTAGTTGTTCCACGTCTGAGTGTTTGTCCACGTGAAATTTATGTTTGTAAAACGTCCTTACAACACAGGATAATGTTATCCAAAAGTAATGGCAGTGTTAACGAAAAAAAAAATTTTGGATTAAAATTACAATATAAGATTATTAAAATTAGCTTGCTTTACAATTTTAAATAGTTCACAAATCTCGTCCGTCTGATTTAACGCGGTAAATTTAGTAAAACTATTATTATTATTTATTTTGTGGAATTAGGATGAATGGCGCCGTTGCTAAGCGGTTGTCACTTATCAGCGAAACGCTAGCTCGCTTGCCATCTTATATTAAAAAAAAGTGTTGATTTCACAGTATAATACGAAAAAATCACCTAATTCATCAAAGTTATCCAATTTGCACGTTTCCCGCTGTAAACCGGGGCGCCCTCCCACACCCTGCCCCCAGTCACGAACGCCGTGACCGCAAACAATTACATTACATCAGGCGTCGCCTGTGCCTTAATGCAATTAGAGGACCGACGTGTTCCCGATTTATACTTAATTGTGTGCATAAATAGGGCCCGCGGGATCCAATTTTTATTGAGTTAAGCACGATGCGTTTTTAATTGGTTAGTTTCTTAAAGAAATTAGATGGAATTATCCAGTCTCTTGTTACTTAACTACTGATATTGTTCTTTTTGTTACATCAAAACTGAAATATGAATTAGAACTTCGTGTTAAAAATTTAAATCAACTTCGTTTTTACTTTCAAGTTCAAAGTTTTTAATTGAATCTTTGTTTTAAAAACTTATGTCGTAAAGACTCTGTCTGTCTCTTTCTGTCTTTTGTTGATAATTAATTAAATTGTTGGTTTTATATGCAATTTTTCTTTATTTATGTCTATCTTCTATCTATAGATATTTAGCTATGTTCTTGAAGGTTCGTAAGAAATTTCGGTCCAAGTTAACCTCTAGTGACAACTGGTTCCACAAGGCAGCTGTATGGGGCAGAAAATGTATAAAAACGCACTATGATAGACCGCCAACCATCAAGACGGTGACGCTGGTAATTCGCAGCTTGATTAGACGATTGTGAAATTCAACAGCAGATATTAGTGTGAACACTTCTTTAGTACCAAAATGCATCAAATAGAAATATAAAAATATACAGCATTTCTTCGGAAGGCTATAGGGTCAAGGTGATTAGACAGAAACTGGTGTTCAATGATTCGAACATTTCTTTTTGGATGCGGTCAAATATAAGGAAGGAGAAAATTAATATTAGGGTGTCCCAGCCCTAAATTGAGATTATTTTATTCCATGTGCTACTTATTGAATCCGAACTTTATAGAGCTGTAAGCGATGAGTCGGCTGTATATACTGTCTCGCTCTACAAGTAGAGTGGCGTCTACAAAACTCGGTTTCCCTTGGGAAACCGAGTTTTGTAGACGCCAGCTAGGACTCACCTTCCAAATGACTGCAAATTTGAACGCCCGCCGAAATATGAACGTCAAGAATTCCAATAATTTTGTGGCAATACGGGAAGTGCCCTCAAAAGAAGGAGACACCACGAGAGAAAGAGAGATTCTTTGAGATAAACGGGCAAACCTGTGACTTACAGGGGTTAAATTCATGATTTAGTTCTAAGCGTATAACTTACTTATATTAATACAATAAATATTAGCATTGTTAATTTAATCACTTTAACATGGTGAACTTTTCTTGATAACTATTCATTAATCGATAACTCAAAGAAGTAATTGGAAAATATGCGAAACTGGTTATTTACATGTATCTTGAACCACAAACGTTTCTCATAACAATGGCGTAGGAGTAGGGGAGGAAATTTATAGAAAACATAACTGGCTTTGTATCGGATCTATTTTTAATTTATTTATTTAATCTTTATGCACAAACATTTATGTACAAAGGTGGACTTAATGCCATTAGCATTATCTCCCAGTCAACCTTGGGGTGGTCCAGAAAAGTTCAGGTAGGTGCATTTATTACAAATTAAAAAAAGAAAAGAAAAAAAGCTATCGTAAGAATTTTAAAATATGTACATTACATGTGAAACCTACTAACAAAACAATATAATAATAATATATGATAAAACTATACAATACCATACATATATATAAAATAAATTAAATATATAAATACACAATACATACACAATATATACACACGTACATAAATAAATGAATATAAAAAAATATGTGGTGTCGTGGGACCAGGTAGGAACGAAGTTCCTTCGGCTAATGTAGAATCGACACAAATTGCAAAAAAAATCGTGCTCAATTTTATGTAGGTTTTCTTGATTTTCCTCTTATATTTTGCTGATTAGTTTTTATTTAAGTACAAGAAAGTATTTAGGAAATTCAGTATTTTAGGAAATAATAAATTACTTAAAATAAAAATTAACATCGTAATTCAAATTATCAACTAAAATAACAAAATATGTCTCTTTATTTTTGTTTGACAACATAAAATTATGCAACTGTCGCGCCTGCGCACGTCTCATTTAACGGTTTTATTCCACGCACTTTTTTCCACGGATTTTTTCTTACGGTTTTACTATCACATTTTTTTCAGTTCGGTCGCGCAGCAAAATCCCTATCCCCTCGAAGCCTGCCGTAAGGAACTTCGTTCCAAATATACATAATTTTATATTTAACAGCAACTGACACCGGACACACTGATCACAATCGTATCAAACCTTTCAGTTCGGATTTTCTAAAATACTGTAAATACCATAATAGGTAAGAAATAAGTTCATAGAACGCATTACTCTG